TTTTTAGCTTGCTGTATATGTCTTTGTAAAGCAGATCGAGAAAATCCTAAATCTGATGCTACATTTCTTGCGGATACATTATTTTGCTGAACAGGAGTTTTTCTCTGGCGGTGAATTTTTCTTTTATACACCCCAGGCTTGTTAAATCTGTAACCAATAACGACCGAAACCTACCCACCTTTCCCCTATACATTAGGATTGTTTAGAGATTCATTCATAAATTGGTGTTCGCTTTCATGTATTTGATTTTGCAGGACTTTTTTCACATAGTTCCAAAAGGGAGCATTGAAAAACAATGTTGAGATTTAAATAACTTTGCCAAAATATCATCCTGTACAATGACTGCAGCTTTTTTTTAATGTATTTAATGGATGTAAAAGTTTGTAGCTTTTAACGTAAAATCTCGTTGTGATTCTTAAACATTCGTTTTTAGATTCCGAACGAATACAAGGATGAACTTAATATCTTTTCGATTTCCTAACTACCTTCGTGACGACTCCAAATGGCCCATTAATTCGTAGACACGTCCCCGTCGTTTTCGTTTCCCTCAGAAAATCACGTATTCTTCTCTATATTACCATCTCCAAAATCTGTAACGTACGCGTTGATGTTCCTTAAAACTTCTTGCGATTTTTTGCCTCTCACAATAATCTTTTTAAGCATTTTTTTATTCTTTTCTTTTTCTGCTTGATACAGTCTTTGGTTGGGTTGAATTGATGACGCTTATAAACGATATTGGGACCCCAAAAGTTTATGACTCGTTTTATAACTTTGGTAAGTCCAATATGGTCCACTCTATCGTATCGTTTTCTGTACCCGTTGCGAAATTTTTTGCGATGGGTTTTTTTTCTTTTATAGTTTGATTTAGTTCTGTTTATCCCCAAGGTATATTATTATATTCGTTTTTTTTATAGTCATTAAGGTTTATGATTGTATTTTATGCTATATTTTAAAAGATTATAAAATGAATTTGGAATATTTATTTGGATTAATTAAATCTTTTTGGAATTTATTAAATATTAATGGATGGATTAATATCGTTGGGATTAATACAGTAAAATCTCGATATAACGAACTTCGGATATAACGGCCAAAATATTCTTAAGTCAGTATATTTAAATATAAATGTTAGTGCTCATAGAATATATGAGCACTATATAGAATTTGTTGGATAGAATCCAACTCTGATTATTTACCAAGTTGGTCTATTCCTTGTTGATAAAAAATAAACTCGGGGTATTCCCAGAGTTGTCTACAGGGTAATTAAAATTCGACCCCCACCATTGGGATCTCAGAAACCATAAGAGATACAGAAATGGTTAAATGGGGGCAAAGTTGCTTATCTTAGAGGTCATCATTTTTCAACTAAGGTTTTGGATCTAGCCGTTTTAGTTTTTAAAATATGGCCCAAAAACCAAAAAATGACTTTTTCGTTATAACTCCTTTATTTTTCGTTTTTTCATGAATCTGAAAAAACATTCTTAAGGCAACTTTTTATGAAAAATGTTGTGACACAGATAGAAATTTTCTCTGACATTTGCTTTTCGTGAAACTATTATCAGGTTTATTCTTTTTTTAATAATTCAATGTTTTTCTAAATGAAATACATTGCGTGATATATCATTGAAATCAGAATTCATTCATCCTATTCAAAAAATAGGATTTTTGGTGTGAAAATCAAATATGGCGTTCATAAGAAAAAATAAACCTGATGACAGTTTCACGAAAACGAAACGTCAGAGAAAATTTCTAGTTGTGTCATGACATTTTTCATAAAAAGTTGCTTTAAGAATGTTTTTTCAGATTCACGAAAAAACGAAAAATAAAGAAGATATAACGTAAAAAACGAAAAAGTCATTGTTTTCTTTTTCGGTCATATTATAAAAACTAAAACGGCTAGGTCCAAAAACTTTGTTGAAAAATGACCAGCTCTAAGATACGCAACTTTGCCTCCATTTAACCATTCCTGTATCTCTTATGGTTTCTGAGATCCCAATGGTGGGGGTCGAATTTGAATTACCCTGTATACTATGTATAAATCAAGGACGGTAGTTCTATAGTTCGTTTTTTTTCTATAATACCTGTCAAATTGTTGTAAAGTTGGCAAAATTAACAGGGAGTTTTGTTTTATCATGTTTTGAAATAAATATGTCATAAATGAACGCAAGAAAAAAACGCAATTTATTGGGAGTCGAACTAAAACGAGCAGTACTAAGGTGCAAATTGGAACTTACAGTCATTCGTCTTTGTAAAATATTTAATGTATTTTAGTATTTCAACAAATTCGTTTTCCTTAATTCAAAATTATTTATCAGGTTACTAAAACTGTTATTTACAATATATACCGTAATAGAGAAAATTTGCAAAATGCACAAACAGGAAGAAAAACAAAAGAGATATGGTTTAACAATTATTATTTAAGAGAACAGCTTGCAGCTGAAATTTTTCAAAATTTGATTAGAGGGAAACATTTTAACTTAAATGAACTGTTATATTTTGCAAAAAGAGAACTCGAATTCACTGGTTCACGAAGTTTATTATATACAGTAATTCGAGACATGGGTTTCAAATTTAAAAAAATTAATAGTCGAAAAATTTTAATGGAAAGAAATCATGTGATTACAGCTAAAGTAAAATTTTTGATGCGCTATCTACAGTTAAAATATTCGGGGGAAGATATAAATTTTATATTTTTGGACGAAACTTGGATATATAAGAATGGTTCTGAATTACGTAGGTGGGTAAAAGACTATGATAAACGTTCGGTTAACATAAAAATAAAAAGTGAAGGAGACAGGTTTACTGTACTACATGCAGGTTACAGAGGTGGCTTTTTAGAAAATTGCTTATTACTTTTTTAATAGTAAGAATACTGATAAAGATTATCACAAGACGATGAATTTCCAAATCTTTTATAATTGGGTCAATAAAAATCTAATTCCAGCAGTACAAAATTTATCTGGCAAAAATGTTGTGATAATGGATAATGCGCCCTATCATTCAGTCCTCAAAGAAAAAACACCCACACGATCATCAAAGAAAAGTGTTTTAATACAATTTTTATTTGAACATAATGTAAATGTTAATGAACGCGAAACAAACGCTCAACTTTGGGAATAAAAAAAGGTATGTCGTCGATGATCTTCTTCTGCAGCATAATATTGAAGTGTTGAGACTTGCTCCGTATCATTGTCAACATAATGCAATAGAACTAGTTTGGGCCTATTGCAAGACTTATTACAATAAGCATATCAACGATTCAACGATGTCCTTCCACGAGAAAAATCGTGTGACTAACGTGTGGCATACTGCTTTGTCAAATTGCACAGCAGAAATATGGAACAATTGCATAACTCACGTTGAGAACTTAATAGAAAAAGACTGGCATACTCATATGGGTAATACTTCCTTTAACGATCTTCCTCCATTTATCATAAACCTCGAAGAGTCTGAATCAGAAGGTAATAAAGATGAATTCAGTGATGAAGACGATGAATAAAAAATGTTTTGGGGTGTTTATTTACCATTTGTTTTGTTCTATTTCATTCAATTAATTTTTTTTTAATTAAATTTATTAGTATTTTAACCGTTTTAACCTCAACTATTTAGTTACTGAAAATATTACTAAAAATCAGGAAAACAACATAAATTTTATAAGGGTCCCTAGATAATACCAACAGAAACCCTAAAAAATTTATATTGACAAGTATTATAGAAAAAAAACGAACTTATAGTTATAATTATTGTTATTCGGCGCTAGATTGTTGTATATTTTTGTTGAACTAAAACTAGAACTAACACTAGAAGTTACGGGTTTAGTCGTACGTCTCTCAAGACGACGAACCCCGAATGATTCTATTTCTAGGTCTAGTGTTAGTTTTAGTAACAGTGCTAGTGCAAAACTAGAAACATTCGGATTTAGCCGCTCGTCTTTCAAGACGGCTAAACCTGAATGATTCTAGTTCTAGGTCTTGTGTTAGTTCAAGTATAGTGCTAGTACAAAACTAGAACTCACACTAGACCTAGATCTAGAAACATTCGGATTTAGCCACACGTCTTTTAAGACGGCTAAACCCGAATGATTCTAGTTCTAGGTTTAGTGTTAGTTCTAGTTTTGCATTAACACTGTCACCAGAACTAACACTAGACCGAGAACTAGAAACATTCGGATTTAGCCGCTCGTCTCTCAAGACGGCTAAACCCGAAACTATTCTAGTTCTAGGTCTAGTGTTAGTTCTAGTTTTAATTGTTATTCATCGATGACGTCACAAACGGGCTTTCGCGCTGTACACCTGTTTCCGGAATGTAGCAGTACTCTTAGATTTTAACGTGCTTGGTATAAATATAAAGCCACGTAGATTGAACGCTGCGACGTGGATTGCTGTGCGAATTTGTGTGCATTAAAATTGTTGGGCGATTTGCATTAAAAACCTTATTTTCCAATTAGTATATTAACCGAAACGTTGGCCGTAATATAATGAACCTTCAATCATTTCCAATTGTTGACTGACGGGTGGTAGTAAATTTAGTGTTCGGGAAATACTATGTCCGCGTATAATTGGAAATCGAGCTGTTCCCGATTGACAAGTTTCAAGTTTCGACGCGCAATTAATTCCGCTTATAAAATAGGGGGTGCCCCCGTGCGTCGCAGTTATCGAACGCCCGCAACAACCTCCCGTCGTTTTTGTTGTAACGTAATTTAGTATAGTAACTATCCCGTTATCTCGGCATTTATCTCTCGGAACGCGGGTTATTGGGAAAGTTGGCCTCTGAAATTCCTGAAATCGTTGGAAAGTTTTTAAAACCTCCTGAAAATAATAATAATAAATCAAGATATCGGCAGCGGAATTTGGAATCCGTTTCCATTATGGGACCTTTCCCGATAAATCTTTCGTCTGGCCCCGCCGCCGACGTCGCGGCTTTATCTAAATGAAAAGGAATCGTAGTAAGAACTCTGAAAAGAACTCTAAGACTGAAATTGTGTCTTGTTTTTGTTTCAGGCCCACTCCCCGCTTTTAAGCTCAAGCGACATCAAACCCGTAAGTATTTTCAACTTCCTTTTTAAACTCTTTTTTTCGTATCCTTTTCCTTGAAGTAGTTTTAAGTACCTCTTTCGTTCAAATTGATATCGATTTTAAAATATTAAAAAAAAATTAATTTGTTTTAATTTTTTCAAGGTTGATTTTTTTTTATGTGTAGTGAAATAGAGAGGTAGTTTAGTTGAGATCGTTTGCCAGCTCGGCGAATTTACAATGGTCGATTACGTGACGCCCGGGGCGCGTCGCGACGCTTCTAAACAGTAACGTTCAGTGTGTAGAGAACGGCGTCGCGACGCTCGCGTCCCCACCGCCACCACGAAAAACATTTCGTTCGGGTTCTCCAACACGTTTTTGCATGTCTGAGAAAAAAATGGGATTCTCGCGTAATAAAACAAGTGCAGAAAGTGACAAAAAATTTGGTTTTCATTATAGTTCTTCATCACTTAGGGTTGGTAAATAAAAAAAATAATTTAGAAAGCTATTTTGATATTTAATTTTACGCGATTTTATTTGATTTGGGTGTTTAAGCATTACGATCTCGTTATATTTAAAGCGACAAAATCCATTAAAAACGGCGGATTGTGTCTGGAAAAGCCTGCGATACAGTTTTAGCGATGATCCATCTCTCCGTGTCTGCGTGTGTATATCTGTATTTTCGAGGCGTTATTTTTATCTACGGTTGGCTTAATAATAATCAATTTGCTTTTGTAAAAATAGATTTAAATTACACGGCGTTAGGTTATTAATTGGTCGGCTCGTGCCGATTTCAATTTGGCACTGATTTTAAATTTTGTTTAAACACGTGTTTAAAGTCTAACCAATAATTTATATTTTCTTCAAGCAGATAACGATAATAATTAATGTATTTAGTAAAAACGTAACATATTGATTGGTGAATTTAAACTTGATGATAACTAAATTGTTGGTGGTTACATTGATTTATTTGGCATTGAAGTTGAGCGTCAATTACATTGATCTGTTTACTCGATACTCGCTGGCGAATTTACTCGCTGTGTAATATACCTAACCAGTGAATTGGGTACGAGTTGTTTGTATATGCACAAGTTTGTATTATATTCACAGGCAGTTATAATTTCAAAAAGCATTTTTACGAATTCGGTAGTTCGTATCGTTGATAGTTTGATTGTGTTTGCATAATGAGTTATCAACACCAGGAAATTCTAATACAACTGAAAATGAAAACGCACAGATCAGCATTTTTTTTGATAACACCAAGTCATAAGTAATTTAATAATATAATTGATGGATCAGAAAAGGGGTTAATGAAAAAAGTTTCTTTTTTTTTATATGCAGGGAAAGTTGTTGTACTTGTAACGGTGTGTCTGTCAAAGCTGCAAAACGAATAGCTTTCCTCGAGTTTACACTATTATTACATTATAAACCAAACTTTTTTTGAAACACTTAAACTTCATTATACCTATTAATGAACGTACTCCTTTCCAGCTTGATATTTATAGGAAAGCGAAGACTGAATTAAAAGGGTTTGGCACTAAAGTACATCCGTGGCTTTCAAGTCAAGGCTTCGGAAAACTGATTTTGCCCAACAAAATGTATCAATCTGTTAATGTATATTATCAAAATGTTAATGGTCTTCGTACAAAAACGCGTGAATTTTATGTTAATTGTTCTGATTGTATCTATGATTTAATTGCTCTATCGGAAACTAATTTAAATTTTGGATCTTGGGTCTAATGAATTATTCGTGCATAAGTACAGCGTCGTACAAGCTGATCGTAAGTTTGATTTGGTTGGACATAACAGAGGTGGAGAAGTTCTGCTTGCTGTAGCTAGTCATTATGATGTTGAACTGGTTGATTCTACAGATATTCAGTCTTTTGTACCATTTGTCGATTGTTAATTTGCTAGTGCTCTTTATGGTCAGTGACCTTATACAGATATGTCAAATGTCTGGAATATAGCCAATAACTTCGCCATTTGTGATTTTAAAGAAATATGTTTCAAATAAAAAATTCTTTATTAATTGTGGTGCATTTTTTGGCGATATTTGCTTGTTTTCATTGTTTTTTGTTTCGTTGCTATGGCAACTAATATCGGTATTTTAAATGGGATGCAAATGTTTTTTTGCATATTTTGATAGAGGACATATCCCTCTACGCGATGAACACATCAAATCATATGGTTGTATAAGAAAAAAATCGAGAAAAAACGCGTTTTCTAAAAATAGGTGAGTTTTGGGCCATCTGTATAATGCCGTTGACAGCTTTAAATGTCAAATAATTGACAGTTTAAATAAATATGGCACAATTAAGCGAACGACAAAGGATTCAAATATTAATAATGCTGATAGAAAACGCACTCAAAGTGAAGTTTGTATACTGTTCAATAATATTTACCCGGATACACAAATCACACAATCCACAGTATCCAAAATATTAAAAAAAATTCTTTAACACCGAAGTGTTAAAAACCTTCCAAAAAATGGACGGCCGAAGACAGCTACCAATGACGAAACTACATTAAATGTGTATCACCGTACTTATACGTCATTAATTTTTCATATTTATTGAATCTGTCATTTTTTGACATTTAAGGCTGTTAATTGCTGACTTAATATTTTCAGAAAACACATTTTTTCTCGATTTTTTTGTTGTACAACCATATTTGATATGTTTATCCTCCATCAAAGTATGCAAAAAGAACATGCATCCTATTTAAAATAACAATGTTGGTTGCCATAGCAACGAAACAAAAAACAATACAAACAAGCAAATATCGCCAAAAAAATGCGCCACGCTTAATAAAGAAACTTGTGTTTGAAACATTTTTCTTTAAAATTACAAATGGCGAAGTTATATTCCAGACATTTGACACACCCTGTATATCGTGGTGTTGTACATACCTCCTGATAATCCGCAACCTGATTTGCTATGTTTCTTGGACGCCTTGGAACATAAAGCTTTGAATTGACCTACCCTTGGTGATTTTAATTTGCCTGAATGTATTAAGGCACCTGGCATATCAATCAAATGTGGAAAAACGGAGTTATTTCGTAATTTCTGTGACTTTCTGGACCTTCGTCAACTCAATCATGTATTAAACTGTGACAATCGTCTATTGGATTTGGTTCTGACAAATACTGATCATCGGTTTAATCTTGTCCATGATGATTTGGGTGGTCGCTATAATTTTCGAAGAGCCAACTTTTCTAGCTTTTCTAAATGTGCAGGTTAATGCGGATGATGCTTTGCATACAAAGTTGCATGAGACTTTGGATTTCTTTGTTCCTAAGAGATTGTGTCGTAGATTCTCATACCCTATTTTGGTACTCACCAGAAATTAAGCAGCTATTAAAATTGAAAGAGTATTATAGGAAGAAGCGTAGGAGAAGCAATAGTGGAATATAAAAGACAGGTGTTTAACTAAACAGAAAATCTCTGATGCGTATACTTCCTTTACTATTAGTGCTGAACAATCGCTTAGTTCTGATCCCCGTAACTTTTGGAGTTATATAAGACAGAAAACTACGACCTCTCGACTTCCTGACAAAATGATGTGTAACTGAAGAGCAGGTTCTTCATTTCCTAAAAAGGTTACCTAATAAATTTATTGCTGGTTATGATGATCTTCCTGCAGTTTTCATTCGTGATTGCTGTGCAGTTTTTGCAGTTCCGCTTCATTTAATAATTAACCTATCCTTAAGCACTTGCTCGTTTCCTAAATTTTGGAAGCACTCACGCATTGTTCCTATATTCAAACATGGCGAACGTACCAACATTACTGATTATATTACCGATCGATATCATTATTGTCCTATTTCGCTAAAGTATTTGAACAGATTATTTACGTGATGATTTATCCTCAGGTTCAGTCATTTGTGTCACCATATCAACATGGGTTTATCAAGCGTCATTCAACGATTACCATTCTTGCGGTGGTTACTGATGTGATTTGTAAATCTTTCGATAGGGGCGGTCAGGTGGATGTAGTATACATTGATTTTTCTAAGGCATTCATTCTGATTCATCATGACGTCCTCTTGTATAAACTTAGTGCTTTTGGCTTATCTCCTAAGTTTATAAAACTATTTACCTCTTACCTGTCGGGTCGTATAAATTATGTGTACTACAACAGTTATGTGTCTATGGAGTTTACGGCTAGGTCTGGTGTTCCTCAGGACTCTAATCTAGGCCCCCTACCTTCTTGAATAACCTTCTAGACAAATTCTATACTAGCTGTTTTGACGTATTTTTTCGGACCGTGATGTTGTCAGTCTTCAGTCGGAATGGTGTAACCGTTATCAACTAAAGACTAGCTGTCTCCTCGTCCATCTTCTTATTATATAGAAGATGTTCTTCTTGAGAAACTATCTCGAATCAAGGATCTGGGAGTTACTTTTGACCGCAAATTGTCTTTTGTTCCGCACATTGCTGTGAGAACGCTTGGTTTCGTTTTATGTGCCTTTTCTGACATCGCTGTGTACAAGTCGTTTTTGACCTTTGTATTGTCCAAAATGAAATATGGCTCTGTAATTTGGTCACCACTATATGTGTGGTGACTACTCAACGCCTGATATTTATTTCTTGTTCATCTGATTTAAAGAGAAAATTTGCAAAGACGAAAGAAAAAACAAGAATCTGGTGGTTGNAATAATTAACCTATCCTTAAGCACTTGCTCGTTTCCTAAATTTTGGAAGCACTCACGCATTGTTCCTATATTCAAACATGGCGAACGTACCAACATTACTGATTATCGATCGATATCGTTATTATCCTATTTGGCTAAAGTATTTGAACAGATTATTTACATGATGATTTATCCCCAGGTTCAGTTATTTGTGTTACCATATCAACATGGGTTTATCAAGCGTCATTCAACGATTACCATTCTCGCGGTGGTTACTGATGTGATTTGTAAACCTTTGGATAGGGGCGGTCAGGTGGATGTGGTATACATTGATTTTTCTAAGACATTCGTTCTGATTCATCAATTTCATCATGATATCCTCTTGTATAAGCTTAGTGCTTTTGGCCTATCTCCTAAGTTTATGAAACTATTTGCCTCTTACCTATCGGGTCGTATAAATTATGTGTACTACAACAGTTATGTGTCTATAGAGTTTACGGCTAGGTCTGGTGTTCCTCAGGGCTCTAATCTAGGCCCCCTACTATTTGTTGTCTTCTTGAATAACCTTCTAGACAAATTCTATACTAGCTGTTTTGACGTATTTTTTCGGACCGTGATGTTGTCAGTCTTCAGTCGGACTTGGGCGTCTTTGTGGAATGGTGTAACCGTTATCAGCTAACGATTAGCTGTCTCCTCGTCCATCTTCTTATTATATAGATGTTCTTCTTGAGAAACTATTTAGAATCAAGGATCTGGGAGTTACTTTTGATCGGAAATTGTCTTTTGTTCCGCACATTGAAGATATTGTATCTTCTGCTGATTTTTGACCTTTGTATTGTCCTAAATGAAATATGGCTCTGTAATTTGGTCGCCACATTATGTGTGTCATAGACTTATACTGGAAAGGATTCAAAGGAGATTTACATAGGAGATTCGTAGTACCAGCGAGTTTTATCTGAGGAATTGCAAATCCAATATTTTAGCCAACTCCCCGGTGCAGAGGATGTGTAAACTAACTAATAATAATAGTGTAGGAGTATTTATGTGAGTTATATTTGTTTTATAGCATGTGCTATTTCTTTTGTTCTCTTGTAATATTGTTCTATAATTGATCTTTGTTGGTCAATAAAGTGAATTATTATAATACAAAATTTTCTTTTATTGTAGTTGTATTATGTCAATACATATTGCTTAAGACAATTGTATCTCCTCATTTGGAGTAAGTCTTGTCTATAAGACGTTAGACATGTCTAAATTTTTGAAAGCTATACTCAAGTTGAGCTAATGTCTTCCATTTACTGGAGGAATTGGGTTTGGTCATCTCAACACTTATTGTGGAGGACTTTAATTTGACTATCTCTTTTTACTAATTATGTGAAGAAACTTACACCAAGACAAAGTCGCTTGTTTTTGTAATTTTTTGGACTTGTAGCAACTTGACGCCTTATCTCTGCTGGTGTAGCACCACTCAACGCTTGATATTTATTGCTTGTTCATCTGATTTAAAGATAAAATTTGCAAAGACGAAAGAAAAAACAAGAATCTGGTGGTTGGTTCTGGTATGTTGGTTCCAGTTGTATTATGTCAATACATATTGCTTAAAGCAACTGTATCTCCTGATTTGGAGTAAGTCTTGTCTGCAAGGCGTTAGACAGGTTTAAATCTAGGAGAGCTATACGTTACCTGAGCAAACGTCTTCCACTTACTGGAGGAATTGGAGTTGGACATCTCAACAATTTTTGTGGAGAACTTTAATTTGACTATCTTTCTTTACTAATTATGTGAAGAAACTTGCACCAAGACAAAGTCGCTGGTTTTTGTAACTTTTTGAACTTGTAGCAACTTGACGCTTTATCTCTGCCGGTGTAGCACCACTCAACGCTTGATATTTATTGCTTGTTCATCTAATTTAAAGAGAAAATTTGCAAAAATGAAAGGAGAAACAAGAATCTGGTGGTTGATTCCAGTATGTTTAGTTTCCAGTTGTATTATGTCAATACATATTATTTCAGACAATTGTATGTCCTGATTTTATAGCAAGTCTTATCTGTAAGGTGTTAGACACGTCTAAAGTTATGAAAGCTAACTCTAGCTGAGCTAACGTCTTCCACTTACTGGAGGAATTGGAGTTGAACATTTCAACACTTATTGTTTGGGGACTTTAATTTGACTATCTTTCTTTACTAATTGTGTAAAGAAACTTGCACCACAACAAAATCGTTTGTTTATTGTAATTTTTTGGACTTGTAGCAACTTAACGCCTTATCTCTGCGGGTGTAGCACCACTCAACTCTTGATATTTTTTGCTTGTTCATCTGATTTAAAGAGAACATTTGCAAAGACGAAAAAAAGACGATAATATGGTGGGTTCCAGTTGTATTATGTCAATACATATTGCTTAAGACATTTGTATCTCCTGATTTGGAGTAAGTCTTTTTTGCAAGGCGTTAGACACGTTTAAATTTAGGAAAGCTATACGTTACCTGAGCAAACGTCTTCCACTTACTGGAGGAATTGGAGTTGGACATCTCAACACTTATTGCGGGGGACTTTAATTTGACTATCTTTCTTTACTAATTATGTGAAGAAACTTGCACCAAGACAAAGTCGTTTGTTTTTGTAACTTTTTGGACTTATAGCAACTTGACGCTTTATCTCTGAGGGTGTAGCACCACTTAACTTTTGATATTTATTGCGTGTTCATCCGATTTAAAGAGAACATTTGCAAAGACGAGAATATGGTGGGTTCCAGTTGTATTATGTCAATACATATTGCTTAAGACATTTGTATCTCGTGATTTGGAGTAAATCTTGTCTGAAGGTATCAGACACGTCTAAAGTTATGAAAGCTATACTCTAACTGAGCTAACGTCTTCCACTTACTGGAGGAATTGGAGTTGAGCATCTCAACACTTCTTGTTGAGGACTTTAATTTGACTATCTTTCCTTACTAATTGTGTAAAGAAACTTGCACCAAGACAAAGGCGCTTGTTTTTGTAACTTTTTGGACTTGTAGCAACTTAACGCTTTATCTCTGAGGGTGTAGCACCACTCAACTCTTGATATTTATTGCGCGTTCATCTGATTTAAAGCGAAAATCTACAAAGAGGAAAGAAAAAAAACGAATCTGGTGTATGTAGTGATTACGGGAAATTTATTTATAAATCAACTTTCATAAATAATAATAGCTTTCGGTTCAAAATATTAAATTATTCCAATCGACTTGCTTCTCTATGAACATAACTCATCCGTACTAAATCATTATCACATTTTGTTGAATAAGTTCTGCAAGATAGATGTTGTCACGGACCGGATGCTTCATCTCATATTTTCAACTGATGATATTTATTTATTAACCAATTCGTTTTAAATTAATCCAATAGTTAATTTACATAATTTACTTTATGTTAAGAATCATTACTTAACTTTACTATTTTCTTGATTAATTTGATATCTTTTTTATTTTAGGTGAATGGGGATGATGATTGGGAGGATGAAGAAATTATGTTGGAACGTGGAACCGCCGGTTTGGGATTTAGTATCGCCGGCGGAACCGACAACCCTCACATCGGCGACGACACGGCGATTTACATCACAAAACTTATAGCTGGCGGCGCTGCCTCCACCGACGGTCGCCTTAAAGTGAATGACTCCATTCTCCAAGTCAATGAAGTCTCGGTGGTGAATGTACCCCATGCGGCCGCCGTCGATGCCTTGAAAAAAGCCGGAAACTCCGTTCGATTGGTGAGATTTTAAATTTTAATTCAATCAATATTCAAAGTTTTAATCGCTCATCGTTTCGTTTACGTTTCCCGTTATCTTTCATAATATCATCACGCGAGATACTGCGGTTAACGTAAATCAAACACGGCGCTTTGCGACATTGTTGCAGTCGGTTTTCTTGAAACCCATTGTTTAGTTGTGTTTGGGGCTCTTTAAAAGATGTACGTCTTTTATTCTCCGGGTATTTCAAAGAAAATTGTTAAATTTAGTCAAAGTTATGATTTTGCTATTGAAGGGGTGGTGATTATTGGAAAGGTTTTTAATAAAAAACTTAATAATTATTTAAAATTTTCATTCAATCCTTTTCCTTCTTGTAGTGGGTTCGTAGGAGGAAATCAAGAAATTTACGCGTTCTCGAAATTGAGCTGGTGAAGGGAAACAAGGGTTTAGGATTTAGCATAGCCGGAGGGATCGGAAACCAACATATTCCCGGAGACAATGGAATCTATGTTACTAAGGTCATGGAAGGGGGTGCTGCCCAAGTGGACGGACGATTGGCTGTTGGAGATAAATTGGTCGGAGTTAGGGATAGTGCTGTAAGTTTATTTTAAATTGTAAAACTATTTTATTAAAGGATTGGAAAAGTTAAGTTTTATTAAACTTTTTTAGTTTGTAATGCAAGCTTTCAACTTTTTACTTTATGAAAACATAATTAAAACTTTTAAAGCTTTACAAAGTAATTTAATTTTAATTTTTCGTAATACATTTTTGTGTTTGTCAAATAACAATAACGATGAAAATATAATTTCTTTTCGTTTTTATAGTGTAAATTCATAAAACCTATTGGAGTAAAACTTTGTAAAAGTTCGCTTCAGCTTTATAAAAACGTTGTAAGCAACTGCCGTAAATCTACGTAAATTTACGACTTGGTTTTACCGTGGTGTAAACACCGAGCTTGTTCCAAGTTTTTTTTTTTCGCTTTAATCAATTTGTTTCTATTTTTTGTTACAGCGAGGAGAGACAAATTTGGAAAACGTCACTCACGAAGACGCGGTGGCGACGTTAAAGACAACCCAAGATAGGGTGGTGCTGATCGTCGCGAAACCAGACAGTGCCTTTATGATGCCGGTCACCCCAGAACCTTCTTACTCACCACAATTATGTAAATCAATAAAAGAAAAATTTTATGTTGATTAAATAAAACATTTATATAAATTTTCAGCAACAAAAGGATCTCACGTTTACCCAGAAAGTCATCATTCCTCTTCTTTGGCTTTAGCACCTTCAACACCGAGGGCAGTCAGCCAAGAAGATATAACGCGGTAAGTACATTTCTGAAATTTCCTCTTCAACGGGTATTCAATCGAGAGATCAAATCATTTAAAATGTGAGATGGTTTGAAAAATGCTTGTAACGGATTTTAAGGTTTTAACATTCTGTTGTTCTTCGGTTGATTTTATTGTCGTTGTTTTTTTATTCGGAACGATCCGGAGGTACGATTAAAGTGGTCGCTTCGCGTTTTAGTATGATGCGCGTATTAGCACACAATGCAGTAAGAATGGAATGACGGTTCGGCTTGAATGAAAGACACGGACACCCATGGAATAACAATTTAAACGAACGCGCGGAGGCAGTCTTCGTAAGAACTTCAAAACTGTCGCGTTGGTCGCGAAGAGTATTTTATAACAACTCTCCCGAGGCTGTTTTATAGTTAAACGGTGTGGTTCTTGATTTATTTAAAATTAATTAACAATTTCATGTTATAACACGATTAAAAAAATGTTGTTTTTGTTTAATAACTGTGGGCGGGTTACTACTTTTATCAACCGGAAGTGATTGAAATTAATACGTTCGTTTTAATGAAGTAAGTAACTAAAAATAAACTGGGTTATCATAAAATATTGATGTTTATTTAGTGTAAAAATATCAGTTTACATTTTTGAACAATTTCTTATCAGAATCTTTATTATTATTGTTATTTTTTATCCGCGTGCGTTTGCTGAATCATAACTCATTGACTCACTGCCCAACCACTCATAAATTTCGAGTCAAGGTCTTCGGATCTTAAGTTACGCAACCTTCTTTTCCCACTTTTTTCTGATTACTAAGTCATCGTCTTCAAGTCTTATTATTTAAATACTGACCTTTTTAACTATGTACATCGAACTTTTTTCCAAATAATTATTCATATTAGTTATGTTTATAGGTTAATGTTTATTAAAACAGGACGGATGCGTTTACTAAGCATCGGCACGATGTAAAATGTAGAGCAACATCTTTGAAAGGTCGTGGGAATCTAAACCGAACCGTTCTATATGCGATTTGTCTATTTATTATTTTTTTTTCATTCTGATATAACCTCGTTATGTGGGAGTGTGGACCATGTGCTTTTTTGCACATCATTAATATTCTTATTTTGTTTTAAGTGGTTCACAATAAAGTTTGGTAATTTAAAATATAGCTTGAAAGAAAATTATAAGTTATAGTCGCTTCTAATCTAGCAAAGCTATCCAAGGCAATTTTCGTAAAAAAAAACTAATAATACGGCGATGGTAAGGCTAATAGTAAGCGTTGAAAGATATTGAAGATTCCAAACTTAAATGAAATTATAAACACAATTATGACATTATGAATTGAGATGACAACTTTGAAATAACAAGTTATACACGAGAAAGAGATGAAGTCAAACAAGAACGTGGAAGCTGTCCAAGTAGCGATCGAGATAAGCCCTCAAAGATCTGCTTGTCGCCATGGCACTGCTCTCGAACTTTCCTATCGCACAGTAACTCAAATAGTCCAGGCATCGACTCGTTGGTATTCGAGTTCGCGAGAAAATGTTATAGCTGTAAATGAAGTTCATTTTCATCTTAGTAGATATGTAAATGATTCTCTTTAAAAAGAATTATCGTGTATGTTGATGAGATGTTACGAGTAGCCACACAGCAAGAATAACAATCACTGTTCTGAGAGTTCATTCTCGAAGTCAGCAGAAATGTAGATATACGATGACCTCCGTGGTCGCCTAATTTCAAATTTCTTCTATGGTGATCTTAATCCGTTTTTATCATTCAGAATTTATGTGGCCTCCTTGAAGATATTGAATTTTAAGTATAACATTTTATAAAATTGAATGCTAGGCAATTAGATTTAGTAACTTAGTTTTTCAATTAAAAACATCTTATATTAATAACCAATAATTTTCAATTTAACAACATCGACCTTGAAAATGAACCCTCATTCAATTGAATATTAATAGTAATCTTTCATATTACACCACAAAATATTAAATCAACCAATTTAGGTTAAACCAAGAATATAATTTTACCACAACCACAATTTCTATACGTCAGTGAGTGCCTAGAGACTTTCTTAAGCAATGTTTAATATCTTCATTACGCTTTATAGTACTTGCACGTAATCTTTTTTTATTTTCTTATCGACATTAAAGAGGATAGTAAATAGTAGTGATATAAAGTGAGATTTGTTGCAAAACGTCGTTTGGTGAGGTTTTTCAAAGTTTCAAACGCGTGCAAACTTCCCGGATGCAGTCGCTGTCGAGTTTCTACTCTCTGTCCTTAGATGGAAAATAAGCCAAACGAACATTCTATGGGCGGCCTGAGGCGTGGCAGACATATTAATTGCTATTAGTCTAATGAATGAACTCGGGTAGAGCCTCTGGGCAACGGCTCAACAGTAAATAGATTGTTTTCAACCGTGTTACAAACGATAGGATTAATACGAGCGAAATTTAATACATTTGTAGCGGTTAAAATAAAAAAATCTCAGCTTTTTAAAAACCTTTTAAAGCTTTTTCCTTTTTTCCAAGAGTCTTACATAAAAACGCTTTTTTAAGCACCTCTTAAAAAAAAAGTCTTTTTAAACCAGGAAGTATGTCAAAATATCGTCTTCAAAGTGTAAAGCGAAACGGCGACGTTCAAGAAGTCTTCCATAAGAGAAGAGAATCGTAGCGAACGTGACGGTGTCATTAGTTTTAATCGGCCAGTATAGAAAGCAAACCGCCATTTACGTGGTTTTTAGTTTAAAAGGACCGTTTATTCTCTAGAGCGCGCGTCTCGAAAGAGCGTCGAAAATTTTATTTCTCGTTTATACTAATTTAAAAGAGTCCGCGAACGAGGTTAGGGTCCGATTTTCCCGTATAAGGCGAAATTTTCACTTTGCATAATGGTCCTTTTTGTATTTACCGAGCGATGGCGGCGACGCCGGCACGACATCTGTGTAATTAGAGTTGGAGATTTTCTTTCATGTTTTATGCAACGACGTGAACGATTAGTTTATTTCTCTTGACAAACATTGTAGCTTTTCTAAATTGATAAAGAAAGTATAAAACGAAACTAGAAAAGAATTGGAAAAGTGTTAAAAGTAAGTCGTTAAAGGAAAATTTTGTTACTCAACTATAAAAAATTTGTTTAGAGTGAATCATATCGAAAATATTATCAAGTGCAATGTTTTAACATTCTTATTTAAATAGTTTTTCAAGTATCAAGGTTATTCCGTTAACAAGGTACTTTTTGTATACTTTTATTGAACTAAGTTGAACTAACACTAGAAACATTAGGGTTTAGCCCCACGTCTTTCAAGACATCTAAACCTGAATGATTCTAGTTCTAAGTCTAATGTTAGTTCTAGTGACAATACTAGTGCAAAACTAGAACTAACACTAGATGTAGAACTAGAAACATTCGGGTTTAGCCGCACGTCTCTCAAGACGGCTAAACCCGAATGTTGCCAATCAAAATGTTTTTCCACAGAAAATGAAACTATCATCATTACTTTTAGATATTAGGCCTAAGGTTGGATATATCAAATTATTTTCAAAGGATCAAGAATCAGAAGTTGCAATATTTTCTTCAGGTAGCGAGCTAATTATTTCTTATGAATTAGATGACCATTTCTTGGCAAAAAAACCGCCCGCCATAAGAATCTTGTTTAATTGTTGAATCTTTTCTCTAGCATGCATTGTACCATTAGCACCCGATAAAATGTCGTCTTCATAAATATCATTTAAAATAATGTCTGACGCAAATGGTAAAGTTTTAGAGTGTTCTTCTAGCGTGCACAATTGACAGATTTTTATTGGATCAGATGGATTATCTCTACATAAAATCTGTTTAAATGACAATTGATCAGCGTGAACTTTTATCTCTCGATACATTTTCTCAATATCAGCACCAATTTTATCACTCCATGATGAGGAAGAAATAAATGTTGGCCTACTGAAGAGATTTCTTCTAAACATTCAGTCATATGACCGAGCGATAGATACTCCATGAATTTAGACTATTGATATTGAAGGTTTGGATTTTTTCTTTCTGCCATTGTATAAGAATCACCAATATTAATTGAAGCATTTCTAAAGGGCAATCATACTATAAATCTACCTTTAGAATCCCTGGTATGAGTATGTTTAAATGAGTATGTACTTTATTTTTACCTTGATCGAGCAACTAGATTTGTCAAAAAATATGTTTTGACTCCTTGGGGTCAACAATGACCCTCTTGATCATCGCCGTAGCATTTTTCTACAATGATAATTTAAGATTATTTTTGAAATCCGCGCGCTAAAAGTGTTGACATAATCTCAATTTAGATGCAAGTTTCTCTCAGTCAGTGACAGTCTTGTAATGGCACGAAAATATCTTACCATGCCAGAGTTAGAGTCTATAATTGACGAAAGCGACTTTTTCGATGACATTGACGACGAAAATGTATCAGAAAACGAAAATGAAGTGTTGGAAGATGATCCATCGGATCATGAAAGTACAAATTTAAGTATAATATAGGACAAAATCATACTTAGGTTGACTAGACGATGCTCTAGAAATATCCTTCGCGAAATTATGAATGTCGTCATTCAAGAAACCCGCTGACATGGTAGAAATAAATGCTTTCTTTCTCCTTCAAAGCAAACCATGACCAAGATTGGAATTATGAAGTACTAAATATCCATCATTTCAAAAACCAATTTTTTGTCCCACAATGTCTCGAAACAGAATGAAATCTTTACTTAGGTTCATACTAAATATTTGACGATTTAGCAACCCGACCAGATAGACGTGAAGTTGATAAATTGGCAGCTATTCGTCATATTCATGACATTTTTGCTTCAAACTGTAGAAATCCTACATTCCTAATGCTGGAGTTTGTATCGATGAGTAGCTTGTACCTTTTAGAGATTTAGAGGAAGGTATCCGTTCAGAGTATACAGGGTGATTTATTAGCTCACCTTCAAACTCTGACATATGATAGCTAATAAAATTTTCCAATGTATCCAATGTTCAAGCTCTACAGCCAGAAGATAATC